AGTATACTAGTTTTAAAATGTCTTTTCTAGTAGAAGTTAAGTGATTACTGTAGGCAGGCTAACATTAAACTCACTGCTAATCACACGTAAGAAATGTTGTTTCTTTCTAAATGTATACCTTGTAATATATGAATAAATAAAGAAATTAAAAAAAAGTAATAATAAAATAGCTATTTTAATATTATAAAAAAAAAATTTTTTTATTTTTTCATTTATGAAACTATAGTACTAATTAAATCTATTATACTGTATTTGCTTTATTTGTCATGTATTATATTTAATTTAACATACTGTATAAAAAGTAATTACCGTATTTTTAAATCTATGCTGGTGTGCTTGTAAATATGGAAATAAGTATAACAATTCATGCATAAAATTTAATTCAATCAGTAGGACCTACTTGAAACGCGTCAATTCGCAATCTCCCATCTGTGACGCGTCTCGCCTGAAACAAGCTTTTCTAGACTGAAGATGCCAAAATCCAAAAATAAAACACGGCCCGTGAACGGCTCCTTGAGCTCTTACTTTCCACCGGTTCCTAGCAACGAAAGAAAAAACGCGACGGCGTTTGCCACGACTTTATTGGAAAATCCAGAAGTACCTCAAGAAAAGCGAGTGATCCCTAGGAAAAAAATTGGAAATTTTCACACAAATACGCGTCGTGGGGAAGCTTTGGTACAAAAAGGATCAGGAGAAGTAAATTTTAAAGAAGAAAAGCCTTCAGAAACAAAATTAAAAGCATTAAATTCACAATATTCAACCCAGAACAACGTTCCTTTAATAAAACAAGAAAATGAAGATTTAGACTTTAAAGTAAACATTCAAAACAATGATTCCAAAATCAAACAAGAAAGTCAAGCTTCGAAGAAAAAAATGAATTGGCCAAAACGTCGTAACCCACTCGACGAATCTTATGAATTTATGTCTGATGAAGAAGTGTGGACTGATAAGACAAAGGAAAGATGGCTAAACTTACAACGCACTTCTCAGAATATTGTCGAAGATTTGCCCGAGGAAACTATCGATGAAATGCCCCTAACTGAAGAACAACATAGAGTGTACCAGTTAGTACTGAATTCTCGAGATTCGCTGTTCTTTACAGGATCCGCAGGAAGTGGCAAGAGCATGCTGCTTCAGCGAATTATTACTTCGCTAAAAAAAAGGTTAGGGAGTGATTCTGTAGCAGTGACTGCACCCACGGGTGTGGCGGCAATAAATATCGGTGGAAATACGTTGCATTGGTTCTCCGGAATCGGGAAGGGAGACGAAAAAGAAGATGTACTTATTAGAAAAGTTAAAAGAAATCTGAGTGCTAAATTGAGATGGACAAAAGTTGAAGCTCTTATAATTGATGAAATCTCGATGTTGGATGGAGCTTTATTTGATAAACTTGAATCCATCGCTAGGCATGTTCGAAACAATAGTAATCCATTTGGAGGTATTCAAGTGATCGTCACTGGCGATTTCTTCCAGCTACCTCCGATAGCAGATAGCAGTAATAATGTCAAGTTCTGTTTTGAGGCAAATTCATGGAAAAATTGTATCAAACATACTATACAATTGACACAAGTCTTTCGTCAGAAAGAAACCGAGCTGATAACTATACTAAACGATATGAGAGTTGGAATGGTAACACCAAATTCCTTGGAATACATTAAGAAACTACAGTGTGAACCTGACTATCCGGATGACGGAATACTACCCACTGAATTGTTTCCTCGTAATATTGAAGTAAACAACGCGAATATGGCGCAGTTGAATAAAATTAAACATAAGTCGTATTCTTTCTACGCCAACGATTGGGAGCCAGATAGATTTGGACAACTGGATAAGTTAGATAAGAATTGTTTAGCGCCAAAAGTGTTAACACTGAAAAAGGATGCCCAGGTGATGCTGATTAAAAACTTGAATAAAGATTTGGTAAACGGATCCAGAGGCGTGGTGATTGGTTACCAGTCAAGTTCTACCGAACGAGAGTTTCTTGATGGTAACGATGAAGGATTACCGCTCACAGATCTAGAGCCTATTGTAAAATTCGACAACGGACATAGGGCTGTTATAAAGGAAGCTGAATGGACCTTAAATGGGATGGGAGATATTATATTAGCGAGACGTCAACAAATACCGCTGATCCTTGCGTGGGCAATTAGCATTCATAAAAGCCAGGGACAAACCTTGGCCCGCGTGAAAGTTGATCTCACCAGAGTTTTCGAAAAGGGACAGGCCTACGTGGCCCTATCCCGAGCTGTTTCAATAAAAGCGATCCAAGTGATTGGATTCGATGAAAAAAGGGTGATGGTCCACGAAAAGGTTAAGAACTACTATAAATCGCTTTCTTTTTGTGTCAAAAATGAACATGGTGATCAAGATTCATCGTCAAACGACCTTAATCAACCGTTAAAACCGAAGATTCAAGAAGAAAATAGTGGAAGCCTCTCGACCGAAAGTTCACACTTGGACGTGGAAATTAAGAATGAGACCGGAGAAGCATTTGATGAGACGGAGAAAAGCAAATATTTTATTGGGGAAAGTAAGTCACATGACCATTATATAGACGACAAAGTAGAAATGCAAAGTTCGAAACGTAAAATCCATGAAATAGATAATGATGCCTCTTATCCATTAATGAAACGAAGGAATATGAAATTAAATTGGGGCGACGAAAACAAAGTTCTTTCTGGATGATAGATAATCGTATAAGAAAAATAACCTGATCACGGTATGAAAGTTTATAAATAAATAGATAAACCACGAAAATTATACAAAATAAATCGTCACTTATTTTCTAACCACTTTCAAATGTTACGATTCTGATCCTTTGCTGTTTCTTCTAGTTTTGTTATTTGGTCGATTTTGACTTTGTTTTATTGAATTCGACCTCGAAATATATTTTTTGTGAGGGATTTTCACAATTACAGAGAGTTAATTGATTTATCATCACAACTGGATGATTTCTTTGATCAAAATTACTAAAGGATTGATATTTTAAGGTTAATTATAATTTTAATTTTGAACATACGCATCTAATAATAATAAATGTAAGTAATTCTACTGCAAATCGTATAAGTCGATTTGATTTTTTTGTTTAACGAATATTTTATGAATAAAAAAACGCGCAAATAAAGATACTGTAAATATTTGATTTGTGTATTACACAGTAAACAAAAGTATTCGTGATTTGCCAAATCTCTAAATTCATCTAATATTATTAATCCGGGATGTCTTATTATTATTATTATTATTATTATTAGTATTATTGTACACCCATTTTTTTTACAAATCACCTGCGATTTTAAATTTGTTAATTTCAAAAAAAAAAAAAAAAAACAAAAAAAACAATTATTAATTTAATTCTTAAGAATTAACGTTTTTTTTATAATAAAATGTTTATAACAAAATGTTTGTAACGGTAATCGTTAATTAATGATATTCGATTATATTAAGTAAATATTGCTGTAGAATATATTGTAGTTCTTTAAAAATAGAAATATAAAATCCACTTATTAAAATAATTATTTAAAAAAAAGATTTTATTACGACGGTATGATATAATATACTTTGCGATTTTAATATACAGTACTAACGGTGACATTATACATTACTATTATGGATTTTTTGGTCATAAATTTAACGAAACTCAAAAGAATTCAACTATTGTACATGGAAATGAATGATATAAACATGAACACATAACTATTTCATTTTTTTAACCATGATATCGTGTATATTGTCATGCATGTAATTGTGCACAATTATGACTATGGGTTTACATTCCCTAATATAGAACACCTTTTATGGCTTTTTTTAAACAACCAATTTGCGAACACAATGTCCAATTATGCGCTGGATGTCACGTATTTGTGGCTGCAGAGGGTTGTCATTTGGTTTCACTAAAGAATCTGATAGGGATCTTTTCGGGTGGGATTATTAAAAACAATACATGTGAAAAAAGGATCTGATAACTATTTGGACCTTAGTTTATTTAACTGGCGTTTTGAAGGATACTACCCGAGGATCCGGCAATCTGATAAGCTTAAAGTGGAATAGTCGCGAGCAAATTAAAAATTTTTTAGTGGATGGTCAAATCAGGCCATCGGGATTTGATGACTCATATTCTAGAACACCAATGATAACGATTCAGTCAATCTGATAAATCACGCTGGAGTTCACTTTGTGCTTGGTGTACTGATATAAATACTATGCAGAAAAACTTTTTTTTCATGCATCTTTGACACACAGTTTCTCTTTATATTAAAAAAATCTTTCTAATACCAGAACCTAAATAAAAAAAAGGAAAAAACAATGGAAAAACCATCTATTCGTCGTCTTGGTTCGAAGATATATGATGCTATTACTAGCGCAATGTCTTTAAGCCAAACTTTAGATGAAAGTAGATGCGAGTTACCACGAAACAATCCCAGGGACGGAGAAACCATATCCTTAGATGCAGAAGAAGATTCATGTAGCGGTTGTGCTAACCCTTGTTCAACGCATCCAAATTATCCTTACTTGAAAATTGACCGTAAGTCTACGTTAGAGGGAACGGTGAAGCCTTATGTAAAACATGTGCTAATATCCACCGGAAAGTCGGATTGGCAGACTCACATCGAAGAAGACACTTTTAGTTTAGCAGCTTATCTTCATAAAGTATTAAAAAGCAACAACTCTCCAAAAGGTAACAAAAAAGATTCCTTAATAGAGAAGAAGAATAAAGTTGAAGGTTCCCCACAAACTCACGAGGATTCTTCTAATGAAGCAGAGAAACCTCGCATCGTCATCACAAATAGTAGTCGTCAAAACAATGATAGTGACTCCAAAGGCAATGATGTTCTGTTGTTTCCCGATAATATTCTTATTAAAAATGTAACACCGAAACAAGCCGCAGAATTTTATAAAAGGTTTTTGTCTACACCTATTTCATCTCTTAATGAAGAAAAGGAACAATACCTATCTACCGTCAACTTCACAGTTGAACAAATGCCATATAAAGCGGTGATCGTTATATGTTCTCATAAACGTCGTGATAAACGTTGCGGTGTCACCGGTCCTATATTGAAAGAGGAATTCGATAGAGTGTTAAAAGAAAAAAATTTGGATGTGGAATCACATAATAATAATGGTATCGCCGTATTCTTGAGCAGTCATACTGGAGGTAACTTATTTTTTTAATAATAATTATCATGTGATCGTGAGAAGTATCTGTAAGACTTATCATCATCTTAATTTTCTTTCGCTGTATAGGTCACAAGTTTGCTGGCAATATTATAGTTTACCGTGATGGTCAGGGGATATGGTATGGTCGGGTCATCCCGTGTCACGTTAAAAGTATAGTGGAATTGACCGTTCTAGAAGGGAAAGTGATTAAAGATTTATATCGTGGTTCAATGAATGGAAGCTTCGCTCCAGGAAAAGGTGGAAAGTTGGATTGGTAAAGGGGAATGATTTTACCCTTTAGCGTTCTTTATATGACAAACCTTTAAAAAAAAACATTTTTTATTCCATAATTCTTTACACTTTCTGATAGACAAGTAATTTTCCTAAAAAAAAAAAAAAAGTCAAAAATCATTATAGAATTGTACTTGATAATATAATCTTATTTTTTTGCATTTAACATATAGTTCCCACGAAAAGCTTTTTTAGAATCACAAGCGAAAAGTTTAATCAGAATTTCCCTTAAAACAAAAAATTGTGATTTTTTTCTTAATTTAATAATCAATGATTAAACTAGAAACATGTGTGGGTTTATGAGTGTCTTCATCGGATTTGGAAAATTGACAATTTTATTTAGACATGATTCATTCGAGGTCGTAAAGTTATTCTTTACCGTCACTTCTTTTCTACTGATAATGATTCGTTTTTATTATCATTGTGATCTTTAAAAAAGTTAACAATGTCATAAGAACGATAATAAATGTAAATTAGACAACATAAATTTTTAAAAACATTCGGGCGCTTATATTTTATTTTATTATTGTAAGTTATGTCAACACGAAAATACAGTATACGACGTGCACGTATACGTCCGTCATTGATTATAAAATTAATAGTGCTCCAGAGCAAGCACCAACGAACGCGTGGCGTTGGATTGTGTATTTGAAAATAAAATTCAATTAAAAATGAAATGAACTCTCAAGTTGTAATTTTCACTAATAAATTAATTAAATTATAAATTAAAATTAAAATATAGTAATAGATTTTTTTTTTTTTTTTTTACAAATCTTTCATAATTAATATCTTTATTAAAATAGATTTTAAATTAGATAATTTATTGATTGAATTAATGGAAAAATTAAATTTAAAATTTTTATTTTTTTGGTATTACTTTTTAATTCATAAATTAAATTTAATATCATAGCTATTTGCTTGACAGACCAGCCGATGATGAATTCCTGAAATCCCCCACAAAATTTACATGGAATCGGCATTATTTCATGGTGTGAATAATTTATATGTAAAATTTCTAACTATATCAGTCAATGTTTTCGTTTTTTGCTATATAACGTTGATATATAAGTATAAATTAAAACCAGAAAACAAAGACAGTTTTATAAAAGAAGTATAACATACTTGATGCGCACTCTCGGTTCAACAATATTACGTTCTTCATAGCTAGCCATTCGTTCTCTAAACAAATTTCCTTCGGGCTATTGATGTATTATTTTTGATAAATTTTTTATACACAGCCGGTGATCAATGAAATCGCATGAACTAACCTTAAATTCCCGGAAAGTTGGTTTCAATTCATCTGAAAGTAACACATCAGTCGGTATCTTTCGTACTCTATATATTTTATAATCAAGTTTGAATAAACGAGTTATGGGCTGGTAAATTAATCTTATAAAACATTATGTATACCGGTATTTTCCGATTTTGTTCTTTGGTAGTTTTGCTTCCTCCTCGGTCAATTTCTTTTTTTCAATCAACTTTTTTTCGTGTTCGTTGTACTCCTGTTCTACTGTTTTGGCAATCTCCGGAAGTCTTATGAAAGTCAGGCAATTATTATATTGACACAAGTTAAATTATGTTCAACATATAAAAGTCAATTAACCTTTCTAATTTCTTTCTAATTTCTTTTTGTGTCTTTCGTTGCTTCTCTTCTTTTAGCTTTTCGGCTATTTTCTTTTCTTTCCTTCGTTCAGCTTTTGTTTTCTTGTGTTGACTCTTAATTTTATTTTGTACACCTTCAATCTCGTTCCCTTCATTTTCTTCTGAATCAGAATTTTCGTCTTCATCACCATTCACAGTATCTTCAAAAGAGGAGGCTTCTTTAGTGTGCGAAGAAAGTTGAGATTTAATTCGTTGCAGTCGTAACAATTTTGCTTCTTCTTCTTTGTGAGCGATCATGAGAAGTTCCTATTGATTTCATTAAAAATGTTATTGAAAATGGTTTGTTTCAATTTGACATAAGTCAGTAACCTAACTTGATGAGCTTGATCTTCAGGCATATAACTTGTTCCGGGATGCGGAATTCGAACAGCTGGAACATCCGCTGCGGGCTTCATGTTTAAAGTGGTAGGCATCTAATAACATGTGAATATTAGCGGACAAAGCCTTAAGCCAGTATTATGAGTTCGATCCAACTTACTTTGATCTTTCGTTTCTTTTGTGGATGCCAATCTTCTTCAGACCCTTCATCTGGTTAATATGTAAGATTCTCAATCATAAATTATATAAAATGATCTCAAAAGGATTCCATGACATGTGATGTAAAAATCCAACCTTCTTGCATCCATACGTCATACTCTCCTGATTTCGAGGTAACCTCACCGGGCGTATCATGTTTCTCTTGCATCAACTTGTCTAAGCTTATTTTTGTGAATTGCGACATTTGCTTTTTTTCATATTTTTGTTTCAAGGGTTTCGAAAACACAGGTGGGAGTTTACTTCGAGATTCCAATACTTGATCAACATGCAGTTTGGCAAGTCTTTTGTTTAACTTCCTCTGCACTGGTGAATCGCGAGAATAAGAATTTCGAAAAAAATATATTCCAAGATGAATATTTAAGTCTAACCTTTGGCGTCACCCTTGGTATCGATGACAAAAAGTTCTTCAGAAGGCAATTCCCGAATTTTACCGCTAATTCGAAAGTATGAGCGGTTAATGAGCAGTTTGAGATAAGACGATGGTTTCCTAAATATTTCTTATTCACCCCAGCACTCTCTCCTCAGTCCTTATTTCCTCCAAAGTTTCTTCGATCTCTGTAATGTCAACATTCTTCCGCCAGGCTTTCTTCCCTTTGCGACTTGGCTTTGGCTTTGTAGATTTTTTAGTATTTAGTGTCAGCATTCTATCGTTAAACTTCTGTGTATACGATAAAATACAGATGTAACGATCACTAAAATAGATGAGATTACAAAATCAAAAAAAAAAAAAAAAATTACTACGTATATATTAATGCATAATTATTGTATTTTTTAATAAAAATTTACTATATACAGCATTTAAACATATTAACAATATCGTATATTTAAATTATAAAATTCAAAAATATATATATATTTTTTAATTTTTGTAATATTTTAAAAATGCATAACAAATATATATATATACTTAGATTATATTATAACCTTTCTAAATACAGTATATTCGTCTGGAGTACATTTATTATGTTTTTTTAAAAAAAAATAATCTTTAAATGCATTCTCGAATTCAATTCCAGGTTAATAAAACCACCCCCTTTCCCCCCAAACGTATACCCTCTTTAAATGCACGTTTCATATCCCTTTACTATGGTCCCAAGGGGAATGCACTTAAGGAGGTTTCTCTGTATTTAATTATTTTTTTTACTAATACAATATATATAAATATATGCATATGTTTATAAATTGTATATAACATCATTTGGATCAGACTCACATGTCTGTCGTCATTTTTTCACATGAAAAACGTTAGTCATTTCTCTCTCATAAAATATAACTATTTTGCCGTTGCAGGTCAATAGGAACTTTTCCACCAACATTCAAAGATTATAGTCTTCGAATTTCTTACGCTTATTTCGTTGGTTAAATTTTTAAAATGTTGGTGGAGGTAAGATCACATTTAATCTCTAAATAATCTAGCTCACGATCTAACCCAATATTACATTGTTTTTCGTATAGATCATAACTTTCTTCTTTTCTCCAATTTTGACGATTTTTGACCCTATACTTTCTTGGCTTACCGATGCGTTCACTTCGCAAAAAACACAACGCGCGGCAGTAAAATCGATCATTATCGGGATTGTAACTTTGGTATTGCTTGCAATCGCTTTTTTCGCATACTTGGGCTTTTACATGCTTTACGTGCCTAAGATTGCTCATGTGAAAGAAATATATTTACAATACGAGTATGTTTGTCGTTTTCATTTCACTTTGCCTGTTATCTATTCTGAAAACTGATTGAATTAGTCAAAAAGTTCTTATTGTTTTGTTCAAACAGCAAAGGTCAAAATCTGATTAGCGAAGTTGATTTTACCGAAGGCGGACAATATCGTAGAGTGAGTGAATCTTTGATCCTTTCAATGATACCTCATTTAAGATGATTTGTTCATTAATGTTTTGAATTTAGATTCTGACATCGGATCAAGCTTACGATGTCTCAATTGATCTGGACGTTCCTGCTTCAGAAACGAATATTAAATTGGGTCAGCAATTTAAAAATTATATCGACTACTTTATATTTTTGATAATATCTGTTTCAACATTAAAATTGAATTTTAACGACGCTATTTTACAGGGAATTTCATGGTCGGTCTAGAGTTATGGTCAGACGTCTTGAATGACACGGTTGCAAAATCTAACCGTCCTGTAAGAAAGATTTCATTTATGATATGACTTGTAAGTTATTATTACTAATGATTTTTTCATTTATAGTGTATACTTATGTATCAATCGCGTCTACTTCGGATATCTTCTACTGTATGGCGATTGGTTCCCCTAATATTAGGATTTTCGAAAGAATATCAAGTATTAAAAATTCCAATGCTAGAAAATATTGTGGAAAGAAGTGTAAGAAATTTTTTTAGGAAATCTTCCTTTTTTTGTATATCTATTTGTGATGGATCCTTCAAAAGCTTTCATATTTTCATTTAGGACGCACCAATAACAAAGGCATTCATTTCTATTTCGAACAAATATCTTAACACATATAACGCCAAAATTCGGTTGGATGCTCACTTCACGGGCTTACGGTATAATTTCCTCAACTAGTCGAGTTTATTTTTTTTATGTACTTATTTATTCTATCGGTTCGCACCTTGCAGTTACTTCATGTACTACTATCCAACGTCTGCGACCATGTCATTTGTTTTATTGTTTCTTACCTGGGAAATATTTTCCTCAATCATCGCGTGGAAAGCGATTGTTTCTCAGTGGCCGGACAATACACCAGAAGCTAGTGACACAACCATTCCAAAGAGAATATCCGCCGGTCTTGGTTCTGAGGGTAGTGGCCAAGGTTCAACCGGTCTAAATCTGGGTGATGATAATAGGGTGAGGCCTCGGCAAAACGATGCAATTGAGGGATCAGAGATTGATAGGGGATTGACAACAGAACAAGAAAGTGAATATGAATCGGTAAGTTATGTAAGTGTCTGTTTTTCTTTCTCAATTTGGATAATCGATTCTACTATAATGTTTAGTCACAACCTGGAGGCATGATATCACCTAATATCGAGACTGTTGATCATTCCGATTCACCGACGGATTCGGATGCACATAGCGCAGCAGATGAAAGTGCTACTGAAAATGATGACGAGGAAGAACAAGAGGAAAATAATACACCAACACAAAGTCGAAGAAGTACTGTATCGGACGTGTCAGAACTTACTTCTGGTGATTCTGGAAATGAAGAGGGCTCTATCATTGGTGCTTCAACGAGTAGATCATCGGTTGGTAACACAAGAGCGTATAGACGAAACGGCTCGGGCGTCGGTGCTACTGGAGAAAGTTACGATGACCAGTAATGAAAAAAGATCATATCCCAATATGGTGATCTTATTATTTATGTATACATCCTTTATTACGTTGATATAAATAATTTTATAAAACTATCATGACCTCCATTTTATTAATTCAATTATTTCATAAAATTGAGTATTAAAAGAATTTGTTGTAAAATCTTTCGAATGGTCTGAAATCTGTCAATAACGGTAGAGCGTAGCTTCTAATACGAGAACTTGAAGATGTCGCTCCTGAAGGGTTGGAAAGACTATACCAATAATAATAAAAGTTTATCAACTAAAGTCTACGTTTTCCCTATTGTCCCCTGATTTGATAAGACCTGATTTTTCCCAAATTTATTGACGCCCTTGTATATTTATGAATACTCACGTGCTAAATTCTACTTTTCTTAGCCACTTTCCGTTTAATTTTCTAGCAGTTCTAGCATTTGTCTTTGTCCTCTGACCTCTCACGGGATAACCTATGGCATGTCTTTTACCTTTGTAGGAACCAATTGCTCTATGATGTAAAATATTATTTCGTACTTCTCTTCTTAAATCACTTTCTATATTCATGTTAGATAATTCTAAAGAAATTTGTTGGATTTTCTCTTCCGATAATTCGTAAAGTTTACAGGTTTTATGAATTGAAAATTTACTGCAAAGTTGTTGTGCCGTTTTGTGTCCAATTCCATGAAAGTATGTTAAGGCCACCTGTTTTATTAGTGTTATTTATTGCTCAGAAACTTGTAAATTTGAGAAATGAATAACAAAAAAAGGCCTGATTCTGTACCCTAACTATTTTATTTTCAGGTAAATTAACACCAAGTATAAGTTGCACCATGGTTAGCGAAAAGGTTTGATCCAAAGAATGCTCATCTAATCGGGATCACATGTTGTGAACGTGTAACTCGATATTTTTATGACACGTGACAAACTCTCTGGATAATAATTACCTTCGATGAGTTATACTAATAATTGATATTAAGCATTTATGCGAGCAAAATCTTTATTTAAAAGCATCACGAGAATACCCGCGCTGTATTCGAATCAGTTAGGATACTCCACTCTTAGAAAATAACAAATAAAAATTGATTTTATACAGTAAAACGAGTCCATTTGTTACAAATGCAGATATCAACTGACGTTTCTTTCTCCTGAAGATGGACGATAAACATTTACTTCTGCTATCGCCATGTCTCTATGGTTGTTGCTTTTTACATTACAGGATTAATGATAAATAAGTAAAGGATCATTGGAAATTCGATTTGTTTCTTACGATATCAAACGCGATGTCTTAGAAATGTCAACAACACCTGGCGTCTCCATAGTTGGCTTAGCTCCGTATTCTCAGTCGAGAGTACAGCATGCTTTCTTGTCATTCTCTTTCTAAATTCAGTGATCTCTGTAAGAACTTATATCTAGTATACATGCGAAATTATTAATACATAGGAGGCACGTGATATATTATTATTTTTATTTAACAAACCAACAACTACCACCTTCTCCACCCTTGTATAGATATTTTTTAGAATCTCTCTTTTAAAGCATTATCGAAGATTTTAATGTTTACTATCTTGTAAAATCTTGCCAGGGCTAAGTATCTCGACCTGTTGCCTCATCCGATTTTGCGGTTTCTGTCTATCTTCTGTACGAATAAGGTCTCCGAATCCTGAAAATTTATTGTTCTAATTGCATAACTGACATGTCGAAAACTTTGTGATATATTGGTTTTTTTTGTATCTTTCTTAGATATATTAAGGGCTGAGTGCAGAATAATTCAACATATTCATTACTACAAATAACAATATATGATATTGCTTGTATGAAGACTTGCTTGATGAAAAAGATGTTAGGTACGGAGAACCAAACAAAGAGGGCTTAGAATTATTAGCTTCGTTAACTTCATTGGACCACCTCTTGATTAAATCCTTTCCAATGGAAAAAAAGTGACAGACAATAACGCAGCAGAAGAAATAGATGGAATACTGTCTGAATGGAGGCTTTCAGAAATCGTTCGATGCTTGAAAGCATTGAAACTTAGATAGCATGTTTATTTCATCTGTTGCAGGCAAGTGGAATAAATAAATAAATAAATGATCCGACCAAAAATAAAAACTCCAAACACGTATGTCTACAAATATTTGTTTCGAATGGCATGTTATATTGGAAAAGCTTACTCGAAAACTCCTAGATCGTCTATCCAACCTCTCTTTTAAAGAGTAATATACAACATTAAGTGTGAAATCGTGTTTTCCTGTTGAAGGATATTCCTTTATTTATTTACCTGAATCTTCGATTATGATCTCTTTCTTTCACCTTTTATCAATATATAAAGTTTATTAAATAAATTTGAAAAACTGTTCTTTAATTCAAAAAAGCAAACTTCACTTAGAAATTATTTATATTATTAACTTAAGACATTAAAAATATATACAATATCTATCTTTTATTATCACTTAATACAGTATATTTAGCTGTGCTACAAAAAACCAAAAATCTTTATTCAAAAAAATTTTTATCAAAAAATCATAATTAGTTTATTCCTGTCAATTAATCAAACATTATCAAATAATAAAACAAATCTATACAATCAATACACTTCATAATAATTTAACAGTATTAATGGCAAAGTAAGTGACACAAAGTGTGTTACATGAGTGGTATAAACAAGTCAATAAAAGAAGCAAAGTCATAAAAATACAATGGTTCAATCTATATTCTTTATTATACTTAAAACATATGATATATACAGATAATATTTAGTATATGACAGATGACATATGATATCTAATTTCAAAAAATACAGTATTTAATATTATAATAATATAAATTTATAAATACTAATAGTTTTATATTGTTTCACTTTTAGTTTTTTTAATTATTAGTATGGAATTGTAAAGATATTAGAATAATTAAAATAAAATATTAACTTTATTATTTAATTGTTTCACTTTATATTATATGCATATGATCTTTGGAGAACCAATAAAATTATATATATTATTTTAGACATGTATTTTTATTTTATTTAATTATATTAGAAAAATATTTATCTAAGAAAGATCTTTTTTCTTTAGAAAATAACTGAATTATTTGATTTTTCTTATATTTAATAAAGTTTTTCTTTATTAATTATAAACAATATCTTGTTTATGACTTCTTTAATATAAATATTATAATAATCATTATAAACAAAACCTATTTTAGTAATAATAATCAAAACAAAACCATATTATTAATAAATAAACCAATCATTATACTAACAAAATTATTAACAATTACAATAATAAAATATAATTTAATCAATATTTTTTTATCAACTCAAAAAACAGATATTCTTTATTTTTTAATAATAAAATATAAATACTTTTTTTAATAACATATATTTTTAAAAATAAAAATCTTTTTTATTTATTTATCTTTTCTTTTTCAAAACTCTTTTAAATATTTTAATAACAAAATATTCAAAAATTTATTTATTTAATTTATAACAAGAATATTTTATTGGAAAGAAAAAACTTGTTAAAAAATATTAAAAGAGTTTATTAACAAATATATTTTTCAAGCTTTATAAAAACCTTGAGTTTATCATAAGTAAATAAAATAAATATCTTTTGCTTAAAAGTAAATAAATAAACTAATATTTTGATTTGTAGATATAAATATATAATTCTTTTTATCAATTAAATGTTTGCAATAGTTTTTTTAAGTATAATAATAAATTTTTATAAAATTTTTATAAAATTTTGGCTTCTTTGGTTTGATTTTGAAATTTTGATTGCATTAAAATATTTAGTTAATAATTAATCAAAATCTTAAATTAACTAATTAACATATAATAAAAAAGTAAACAATATATATACTTCTTATACATTTTTTATTACATAACATAATAATAATAATATAATTAAAAAAAGCAAAAAAGCAAGATATTATAACATTTTCTTAATTAAAAATAGTTTAGTAATCTTTTTTTTCTTTTTATATGAATTTCTTTTCTCTTCAAAATTAAAAAGTCAATTTTCTAATAGATCAATAAGTTTTGAAAAATTTTTATTTATTAGGATAAACTTTTAAATATCTTTTTTTTTCTTAAAAATCAAATCTTTTATTTTTTTAAATTATCAATTTATATTAAAATAACAGTTTAAATAAAGATTAGCTATAATTTTTTTTAAAATTTAGAAATAATCTTGAAAAAGAAATAATTTTATTATTTTTCATAATTATACTTAGAGAGTTAATATTTGAAAAGTCTAAAATAGTTAATATAATATAGTAATAGCTTAATGAATTTATTTTTTTATAGTAAAATAATTAGTAAATAGTTAAGTTATATAAAAAACTTAACTTGATAATCTTGATATTAAGAATTTAAGAATTATATATAAATCTATAATTAATTTATTTATAAGTATTTTGCAATATATATAATTTAGCTTTAATATAATATCTTAGGTACAATATATTATTATTTTTAAAAAATTAATAAATATACAAAATTGTAATTTAATTAATAACAAAAAAAAAAAAAACAATATAAACAATTTTAATATAAAGTTTGATTTTTTGAATTAATATATATATATATTTATTTATTTAATAGTAGAATGACATTAAATATAAATTTTTATTGAAACTTTTTAATTTTATATTATATCAAACATCTTTTATTACTATTATAATAACTAAATACTAGCCTATCTATTTTATACCTGGCAATATGCTATTTGTGTTACATATTTTCAAAAAAATCTATCTAGAAAATAAAAATTCTATTACTAGTTTAAACTATTTAATTTACTGGTCTAACTTTATAAGAGAACAATAAACTACTATTAACTATTTATATATATTACTTATTATATTATATCTTTTTACTTATATTATTAATTAATAAAAAAAGTTTTTATATAATATATATATATATATAATAAGCTATTAGAAAATCATAAATACAAGATGGTAATGTCAGTATAGTACTTTTCTTTAAAGTTTCTTATTTAATAGTTAATAATAAAGAAAGTAGCAATTAAAATTAATTATAATGAAATACAGTTCGGTTTATATATTCAAATATAAAAAAAGTTTTAATTGAAAAGTTAGATAAATACTCTTATTTTATTTAAATCAACTATTATAAAATTAACTTTTGATAATTATTGTAATACCAATTGAATAATCATTATATTTCAGGTTTCAAAAAATACTAAACTGGTATCAAACTAATATCAAAATAATACTAATCTATAATAAATTTAATATATGGATTGTGACCTATTTATATGAATTTATAATAAATTTAAATATTAAACTGATATTAAACTGATATCAAAATATTATTATTAGAAATCTTAATTATACCATAATATCTTTTTTGAAAGTTACAATTTTAACATTTGTTGGATTAGTATATAAATTAACTTCTTATAAGAAATAATACTTGACAAGTTATGATATCAAAATATTATATTAATACTATTTAATTATTTTTATATAAAATTAAATCAATATTTTGTAATCTAACCTATAAAGTATTAATTACTGTACTATGGACTTACAAATTAAAAAAAATAATTGTTTAAAGTTTATTTAATAAAATTTATATATTAATAAGAAATAAAATAATTTTAATTTTAATAAAAATTTTCCTCAAAAAAACGAACATATCCTTTAATCAATAAATATCTTCTCCAACTTTTCTCCCATTTCAACACTTCAGGAAATCAGTTTTCCTCAGTCATACCATATTCAAAACTATTAAAGATACATCTTTGTAAATAATTTCAAAGTCAAATTAAACAATCCCAGCCTGGCACCTGGCAATCTGTTATAAGTTCT